TTGGTAAAACTCGAGCCAAAAGCCAGAGCCAAGCCTCAAAATTTCAATTGGGCTTTGGTTCGGGTCAGGCAAAAAAAGCCAAATTTTTTTTGCCGGTTTACATATGAGCCATGAGCTTCTGCTCGCTGCTTGGCCCTGATTCCTTGACACCTTTGCTTGCATTCTGTTAAAAGAAACTAGGACATTTCTTCCCAGGGATCGGAATGTAAAATTAAAACATCTCTATGTCACCAACTTTGATTGTGTGGTGATCATGTTGGTCCACCATTTTCTTGGGTATTCCATCATATTAGCTTCAAACACCATAACCGAGATCATAAGATCTAGCATCGAGTTAGACAATTTGATCCTCGGTTGGGTCATATCTACACCATACACTCGCTAGATTCAGCATTGTTAGCCAATCTTTAGAAGTCCATTTCAGTGAATTTTTCGAGCTTTTCCCATAAGAAATGACTTGTGGTACATATACCAATTATATACTATCAAAGATCTTATTACTTCCAACTATAAATTGAAACAGAATGGATACAATCAACTATAATTAATATATAACGAAGTTAAAACATTCATTCCATACTTAATTATAAAAACCTGAATCCTATTAGTCATTTGGATACCACTTTCTAATTTGATTGTAGCAAGAGCCCCGTTTTGATCTTTATTTAACGGTCCTAACTTGATTTAATCTACTGCGAACTCTTGGAGAGGACATGAGTTGTACCATTGCAAAACATTGTTTACATAAGATTATTGGTGCATATATCTCTACGACCCCGAAAAGAATAAGTTGATGTTGGAAGAACATCAACATATACTCGAACAGAACCGGAAAACATGCAGTAGATTTCAAGTGGCGTGTTGATGCTTTCTTTAGACTATATTTGCCGTGACTAGCATTGAAACACACTGGAAAGTAAAATGCCTCCAAAATAGAATGAAATCTATTTGTCATTTGTACTGTCCACTCACGAAGTCGAACACAAGTTACATATTGAACTAGGATACAAAAAGGGCCAAAAAATGGTTGAAACCACGAACATGCATGTTTGTTGCAGAAGGCTGTAACAAGTATTGCTTCGGCTTCGGCCGCATGCCTTACTAGTTGGCAGAAGCCGACTGCAGGCAGGCTGCACCATTGCGGCCTTGACCGGTCAGCCACTCCGTTTCTTCGCTTCTTCGATCCGTTCCTTAAAACCATTGTCCTATTCATGATCCATGACTTGAATAGGTGTTACGATAAATCCACAATGTCCAAAATGACATTTTTTGAAAATCTCTAACAAGCAATTCATTTTTCTAACATTCTACATAGTGAAAATTGAAAATAAAAATAAAAATTATTCCCATTGCAAAAGTAACTGTCTCCCACTAACAGATTAAAGTTGAAAAGAAACATGTGCCAAAATGGAGAACTGTCACCTGGCCATGGTTAGAGGCTGCAGATTGGGATCGGTTTATAAAAGGAACATGTTTAAGTACACAGCTGTAGATATTCTTACCCAATCATGATTGGTGTACAAAATTTTTTACATCGTTGACAACACGTCATGTGTCATGTTTTCACCGAAGAGGTTAAAAAATAATGTATATTTCCAACCAACACGTATTTGACACATATAATATTGACAACGATGCTGTCAAAAATAAAAATTATTGTATAAATAACATTATTCTTACCAGCTTCTCTTTGTGGGGACCTTAAAATGAGATATTTTGTCAAATCTTGCGCGACAGCGATGATTGCTCTTCTTTTATCTTGGTGCTGTCATGTGCTAGGCTTTGGATTTAGACATGTCCTTTTCAACTTTTCAAACTTTCCTCTAGATATTTTTAAAACTTTGGAATCTTTTTTTATCACTTTCAAGGTAAGTAAATTATCTTTAACGCGTCAAAGCACTCCTCTTTTATTTATTTATTTATTTATTTTTGTTTTAATACCCGTGTCTCCGCTTCGTCAGACTAAATCTTGGATCTCTAACCACCGACCTCTCAATGACTCGAGGAGGTACCCAGGTTCCCACTTGATTTATATTCCTAGCCCCAAGAGAATCCTCCTCACTTCGTTGATCAGGAATCGAACTTTCCACGCTGAGGTTGCAAGTCACCTTTTATTTTTCAAACTCGTTCAAGAGATATAGCTCCATTGGGCCTCCATTCTCCTTTTCATTCTTTCTCTCTTATTTTCAATCATAAAATTTTTCATAAAATAATATTATACACAAACAAAAAACTTTTCATTCTTTTTCAACCACACATTTTTCGAAAAATACTGTTCCAATCATTAAAATTTGAAAAGAATGAGGCTAAACAAGATCATAAAATACAAGAAAGTAGTGTTAATAAATATTGACAATAACTCAACTCCTATCGAGTTGTGACTTTTTCTTATGTCATTCATTATTCATACAAATAACCTCGAGTTCGAGAAAGCAATTCTAGCTTAAGAATTCTCATTTGGACAATAATCAGAGTTAAAGCTAGTTTGAGCTCATAGATTTTGTTGCAATACTTGTTTATTGTAAAATGATGTAGTATGCAGCTAAGTGATAAGCGAACATGTAACACAATCAAATAATTGCTTCAAAATGTTAGTTTAATTGCTTCAAAATGTTAGTTTAACCGTTAACATTTCTTATAATTAAGACACACAACCAAAACAAACATACTATTGTCATTTTTTGCAACTTTTCAACTATAGATTTTATCAATATTTATTAAAAATTTGATTTTTAGACAATCAAATGAGGAATAATTGTTCCTAAAACTTATACAAATAAGAAGATATTAATACAAGTCACCGTCTTTATATTTGCTAACAAGAAGAGTTAGAGGGTGTTTGGTGCGTACTAAAATTATATTTTTTAGTAGATTGTAATAGAAATATTTGAAATATATGGTTGAAAAATTATGGAACCCATAAAAAATGTGGTTAATATTGATTATTTGACTTTGATTTATATTAAAATCAGATTTTTAATCCGTACCAAACGAGCTCTTAATAAATTGAGGTATAAAAAGATTAATAAAATAATAAGTAAATGAAGATTAGAAATTTTTTTGAGGAGGTAGGTGCAAGTGGGGGTTTGATAATATAACATAGACTTTGCGCTAATTAAGGGTTCATATAAGTTTCATATTTTGGAAAAATAAATTTTGTAATATCAATTTTTAGGAGACTTTGCAATTTAAAAAAGAAAAAAAGAAAAAAATTGATTTATGTAAAATTATTTTATTGAAAAACTATATCGTTAAAAAAAAAAAAAAAAAAAAAAAAAAAAAAAAAAAAAAAAAAATTGAAATAAAAAAAGAGAGAGAAAAAGAGTGATGCTAAATCTACAGTCCAGACTCTTCATGTACAACCTCAGTATAAGCTGCCACCCAAATCGTTCTCTGCTTCCCACAAGTTCGAGGGTTCATCGGACCTCGTTAATCTACGATACCACATGGGTCCGGTGTTGTCATCTCCGATCAATGAATGGATCCATCATGTACACGGCAGGCAGCTATGACCAGCTCATTTCCTTCAGTCACATCATCTTTAGGATTAAAAGTTTGTTTGGCTGGGATTAATATCTTATTTTCATCTCAAACAATTAATGTTAAGTATTAACAACATTTTTCATGGATGTTACAATTTTTGAATTACACATTTTAAAAATTTCGATTATAATGTACTAAAAAAAATCTAATTTTGATCCTTACCAAACACTTTCTAAGCCACTTTTAACAGAAAATTTTGTCTACCTAGTTGACAAATGCAATGACTACAACAAGTGATTTGGATGTAAAAATTGACTATTTTCTAAGCAGTTTGATATGTCAAGAAAGTGGGCAAAATTTTCTTGCAACTTACCATGATTCCGTCCTTTATAACTCCCAATCCATTCCACAGATTCACATTTCGCTCCACCATTTTCTCGTTATTATGTTGATTCGTCTTTTATTCTTTTCCTCGTTATTTCTTGTCAATGATGCTAAATCTACAGTCCAGACTCTTCATGTACAACCTCAGTATAAGCTGCCACCCAAATCATTCTCTGCTTCCCACAAGTTCGAGGGTTCATCGGACCTCGTTAATCTACGATACCACATGGGTCCGGTGTTGTCATCTCCGATCAACATATACCTTATATGGTATGGGAAGTGGGCCGCATCTCAGAAGACGTTAATCAAGGACTTTTTATTCTCTATCTCCGCCACCAACCAATCTTCGCCTTCGGTGGCGGAGTGGTGGCAGACTGTATCCCTCTATACAGATCAGACGGGAGCCAACATCTCACGCTCTGTCCTCCTTGCTGGTGAGTACACTGACCATCTCTACTCCCACGGTACCCAACTCACCCGCCTTTCAATCCAGGATGTCATCGCCACCGCAGTCCGATCAAAGCCCTTCCCTATCGACCACAAGAAGGGTATCTACCTAATCTTGACCTCGGTTGACGTGACAATGCAAGATTTTTGCCGGGCAGTTTGTGGATTCCATTACTTCACCTTCCCATCAATGGTGGGTTACACATTGCCCTATGCTTGGGTCGGAAACTCCGGCAAACAGTGCCCTGAAGTCTGTGCATACCCATTTGCAGTACCGGGTTACATGGGAGGTGGAGGTCCTGGGGCGCTGAACCCACCAAACGGCGACATCGGAGTTGATGGGATGATAAGCGTGATAGGTCACGAACTGGCAGAATTGTCGTCTAACCCACTGGTGAATGCTTGGTACGCCGGCGAAGATCCTATGGCACCGACGGAAATAGGGGATCTGTGCGAAGGGCTTTACGGGACAGGCGGTGGCGGAGGTTTCATTGGGCAGGTGATGAGGGATAAACAAGGCCGGACTTACAATTTGAATGGGATAAGTGGTAGAAAGTTTTTGGTTCAGTGGATATGGGATCCAGTTCTCAAGGCCTGTGCCGGTCCCAATGCTTTAGACTAGACTGGCCAGTATGGGAGATATATTTATATATATATGCACAAAATTTTCAGTGAGCGAGTGGAGGTGAAGGGATGGTGGTGGCGGAGGAGGAAGAGGGGAAGAAGACAAAATTCAGTTCTTTTTAATTCTTTGTTTACAATAATATTTTGTACGTTTACAAGATATATGTGTTTCTTATTGAAGATTGTGTCCTTTATTGTCAAAGAAGAACTGGTTTTCCGCAAAAGGGCGTTCAAATTCAAATCGAGAATATGGATTTAGAAGGAGAAAACGACAAATTTAGGATAGGGGATGAAAGTTTTCATATTTTTCAAAAACACATTTTTATGCAACTTATTTTTAATCACATATTTTATATGAATAATATTATACGTAAATGAATTTTTTTTTCGACTACACATTCTGTCAAAAAAATAATAATTGAAAATACATTTTCTTATCAGAATGGGCCTTAAGCAAGGGATAAATTCAGATTTTAAATTAAGTTATATTTCATGAAATTAACAATTTTTCAATTATAAATTTTATCAATTTTCATCAAAATTTATTAAAAATTTGATTTCAATATCTACCGAACAGAAGTTTTCTTTGTTTAAAAAAATCAAATAATATTCAACATTTAAATAATAAAGGCAAATGCAATGTGAGAGCAATATGAGTGGTCCCACTTTGAGTGATGGGCATTGAGAGGATGGTGAAAAAGTTGAACGGATTAGAGCATTATGGTGTAAACTCGAATTCTAAATTTATAAAGTGGTCGAAAATCTCTCTAATGAAAAAATGCAAATTATATTTTTGACAAACATTGTGTGTGTGTGTGTGTGTATATATATATATATATAGAGAGAGAGAGAGAGAGACACACATTTTTCACATACACGAGCCAAAAGTGAATTTATATTTTTCCATTTGAGCAGAATTTAAATTTAGATTCATCAAGAAGTAAATGAGGATTTAAAAGTAATTTTAAAAATACCAATTTCTATTCATTTTACACTACCATTGAAAATGTTGTTGGGACTTCGAGCCTATAATTTCATTTTGGATTTAAAATGTTAAATCTAAAAAGATATGTGGATTAAACAAAAATAACGTGATGCTTTTTGACTAATTTGAATTTTTATTTTATTTTATTTACAAAATAACATTACTGCTCACTAGAGTTTTGGACAGGAATAAGCCTATGCTTGATCCCCATTTTTTCAAATATTCATTTTTAACCACACATTCTTCCATAAAATAATATTATATATAAATTGATGTTTTTCGTTAATCACATATTCGTCAAGAAAAATCACTATTCCCAAACTCATTTTTTCCCCCAAATTTCTATTAAAATGAAGCCCAAACAAGGGCTACGAGTATAGAGTTGTTTCGAAATTTTAGTAGTAGTTTGTTGAAAGAACTGACATAACTCGACCTATTTCGTTGGACTTTTACCCTCTTATGTATGCTATAAGACTGGGGCTTATCATCCTAGTTTTGTCAAACTATAGTGTCCGACCTAGTAGTTTTGTCACTGACTTGCTTGAATAGATTTCGTTGATTGGGAGTTCAGTGGCTAAATTCATGATGATGCTTATGTCGTAGCTTGTGCTTTAGGTCATCATTACTCTCATTTGATTGTTGTAATATAAAGTGTGACACGTAGGACACTTTCAATCGTATTATGATATTTTTAGATGATGTCTTTCATGGACCAACCTGCTTGGATGGGTTTCATGGATCGATCGCCTATGCTGACCTGTTTTGGTATTCTTCACAAATAAGCTCTTTTCGTCATTTCAAAGTGAACCAACAAGCAATCTGACATGAATTTTATGATTTGACACCAGGGAGGAGTAGGTACATAGATGTGATAGGCCAAAATTTGTCCAAAACCTACAAATCTTCTTAAACTACGAAAAGATTCTATTACATGTATTTTGGTTAAATACATACTTCTTCAGATATATAAGATTTGAAATATAAAATCTAAGATTAAATCCAAATCAAAGACTCAAATGTTTCTATTGTTGTTTCAGAAACGCAATTAATCCTATGGATCTCTAAATTTGGTATAATTTTTTCTATATCATGTAGTTTGGCTAGTTTTTATCAATGTTCATTTTATCGTTCTCAAAACGATGTCGTTTCGTACGTTTATTCAAAACGGCACTATTTTGGAAGCAGTATAAAAGGGAAAAAAAATGGCTTAAGCCATTTGTACACACTCCCCTCACATGAGGGGAGTGGGTCACAACGCATTTAATGCGCTGGACCCGCTCTTTGTGTGAGAGGCATGTACACCAAGCTATCAAGCTCGGTGTACATGTAGTTTGATTAAAAATAAAAATACCCTCATGCGTCATAACCCTAGTGTCGTTTCTTTTCTACTTGATCTCTTGAGTTTCGCTTTCTCAGTTGCCTTAAACCTATTGTCGTTTCTTCTCTCTCATCTCCATCTTTCAAAGCTTTCCTCTCATCTTCTGTAACCTTCAGGGTTATCTCTTGATTTCTCTCGAATCTTTTTATCTTGTCGGTGTGTGTCTTTGATCCCTGGCATTTTTTTCTCTCTAAATCCTAATTTTTCAAGTAATCAATTTAATGTTCTTTGAAATCGAATCATCAATTAGAGGATTTATGGTTCTATTTTGCAATTTTTTGTGTTAGGATCCCATTTATTAACTTGGTTGAGAAGGACAAAGAAGATTTCAATTAGATATTTTTAATATATATAAATTTCTTTTCGTGATGTTGATTTGAATGTTTGTTTTAAGTTTTTAATTAATGTTTTTCTGTCTCTTAGATTGTTTAGTCTATTTCAATATTATTGTATCTAGGTCATGGGTTTGGGTTCTTCCGATTGGGTTTGACCTATACTTCGCTTTGTTCGGTTAAAAGATTTAAATTTATTTTGCTTTTCTTTGTTCTTTGTATGCAAATTTTTTATGTTTTAATTTTTAATCATTACTATTTTTATTTTTTAATTTTTCATGTGTTAGTTGTGAAATATTTTTGTGTTCTTTGTAGTTAATAAGTCATTTTATGTGAATTTTTTATTCAATATGATTTTGATTTTTCTTCTTTTTTGAGATAATTTGTTATGTTTTGTTTCTATTTTTGTCCTTATTGTCCTATGCTTTTACTTTTGCAGTTTGAATTTATTTATTTACTTTATTGAAGTTGTTTTCACCTTCTAGATTAAAAAGTACTTTTATTTTTTGTTCCAAATCTATTCAAACCTATCCAACTCGATTTGGTTTGGTAGATTTTTCATTTTTTTTTCTATCCCTAACCACCAGACCGATCTAACTTATTTGGACCTACGACACCACCACTACTATCCTCTCTGCCACTAACACAAATGACATCATTACACTATCTCAACACTATAAAAATCCGCCATGACCGCCATTAATGCCACCACATCCCACGACCTCCACTAACCACCACCACACACACACACACACACACACACACACACACACACACACACAAAAGGAAGAAGCTAACATCACCGCCACAACCAACACAAACACGCTCTTTAAATCAGTCGTCATATATGAAAAGCCAATAAAATGCATTCAAAAAACATGAAAAATACACGAAATCTAAAATATCAAATATTGATGACAAAAACAGTGTCATAATGGTTGTGTAAGGATGAGAAAGAAGTGGCCTAAGCAACAACTTTCTCAAAAATTGCACTTCCATTTTATTTATAATGGAGGTGGGTTGCGATGGTGAGTTACACCATTGTTTTTAAAGGGTGCAAAGATTCATATTTGTAAAAATCACGAAGAAAAACCAATTTTAAGTGGCAACTATCTGACCATTGCTAGAGTTTGATAATGGTTAGCGATAACAACGATTGTTGTGGTGGTTATATGGTTGGGGAAGTGTTGCTTGTGTTAAATATATAAAAGATAAGATGGACAAGTGGTAAAAAGTATGAAACTTACTCTAATATTAATAATTTATGATTGAGCCTTGAGATTTTTTTTTTAAATTTTTATTTTTGAAGGAAAGACCACTAGTGTAGTTATTTTATATCATAATAAAGAAAAAAATAAAAATAAAGGAGAGGGAAGTAGACCTAATTTTCAGTGAATAAAAAATTGTGAAAATGATATTAAAGTATTTGAAAGCAGTGAATACAATAAGTAAATAAAACGACTCAATGGTACTCATGAGGGTGAACCCTCGTATTCTGCATAAGATGGGTCATGTGTCTGATCTTAAACATGTCATGATCGTAAAAATTTTAGTTAGGCTTCTAGCTAGTGAAGGGTCCTGTCTAGAGAAGGGATGTCTAGGTGATAAGGGTCGTCCTGATGGTAGCCTACTAGATGACGGGAAAAATGTAGGTGCATTAAGTTTATCGTACTCATAGGTACAACATTCAATGAATGCCTAATTGATAAATTTGAACCTTTAACTAACGATATATCTGACTCAACTTTTTTTCTGTACAATGTCCCAGGCCCATACATCTATGTCACTTTGTATATGCACATTCATCTTATTCGAACTCAAAAGGTGAAGATGTAGAAGTAGGAATCTTAGAGGAGTTGGACTTAGATTTCCCACCAACTAGGTTGGAAACCAAGTCTTTAATAGAAAATTTCATGCTAGCTCTAACATTTATGCGATGCCTTTCCTTGAAGTGCCTCTTCTTGAAGTGACCTATCAATATAAGCTTGATGGCAAACTGATTAGGACCAATATCGCCTAATAGCCTCTTTGAAAGAGCGTAGGGCAGTGTCCTTTTATCACTCTATAAGTTGAAACCTAATCCTTGTGATGACTAAGTATTCTCTATAGGTTTATTTGATAAACAAGAATTGATATGTGTAGGTTCAGAAGGTGCCTTAGTATTAGAAAAAGTAATAGCAACTAGAGTAGTAATAGTGGATGTAAGAGGAGAATGTACCACAATAGGAACATCTAGATGTGCTTCGTGTCAATCGAACCACTTAAAGTTACCATGATAAATACTTATGGAAAATATCACGTACCTTTCACATGGTTGGCTTACGGTATAGACAAACACTATGATTTTTCAGCATACTTCTCTCTTATGTGTCACTCTCTACTTATCTCACGGGGAATGGTTGTACTATGGAAGTTCTTCAAGCTGAAACATTGTTTGCATTGGTAGAATAGTCATGTATTCGGTGATGTATTTCAACAAGTGAGGAAGGTAGAGGATAGGGTTGATGAGATAAAGATCGAGTATGATAG